AATAAATATTCATTATTAGCCCTCTTGCTGGGTAAAGTTTGAGCACAACAGTATGAAAATATTAAACCCATCAATCACATCGCGTTCAATTTAAATGTGATGAATTTCTGTGGTAAAACCACAGACTCCTCCAAACAGTTCAGTTTCATTACGTGCGGCTGTTCGTGTGAGCTATTCTTGATTAGCAAACTGAGTGAATCATAATGTTCAGAAGCGTTGTTTCCTTGTTTCCTCAATGTGCAAATTCCCAGATGTGTCATATTGATTTCCTTTCATGCCATTATGTCCTTTTGAGATGTGCTGATGCATTTCCAATCAGCCGCTTGTTCTTCTTCCTTCCACTTTCTCGTTAAAAAATGCGCACGTCAGAAAAATGACAGGAAGCTTGGTCTAATATCAATCAACAATTTATGTGCTAATTACTGGCACTGTGACAATACAACACCTGTGTCAAAGCCTGGAAAATGTTCCAAATCTGCTGTTAACTCCAGTGAGAAGATGAAGAGAATCTATACAGTACTGTGAAGCTTTTAAGTTGCAATTACAGGTGTTACATGTACAAAGGACCACAGCAAAACCACAGCAATCACACTGGACACTTTAACTGCTTCACCAGATATCTTCATGTGAAAGCAACATTTCACAGATCACCTGAGCCTTTAACTTCTCGTAGATATTCTGCGTGTGTTCGAGCTGCTCCGTGGCTGCGGTCAATGCGTGCTCCATCCTGTTCAGGGCTTGCATCTGCCTGAGGATAAAAAACAGGCCCCTTTTAAATATTTCATTATCATGACACCGACTCTCCAACACTAAAATCTATTGTTTCACATCTAGCTAATTATAAAGCACTGCATATGGTTTGCTGTCAAATATGATGGTTTTGAACCGTGTTTGAAATGCAGCTAAAGACTCACCTCTTGTTAACCAGCTGTTAGACTTTAAAACATTTGCACACTGATGCACATTGATGCTGAAAAACTGTAAAACTACACCTGCCACTGTTCAAAATGATGCATTTTTTATACTTAAAGGATCTTTACAGTGTATCATTAAATTAAATGATTTATAGCATGACTAGGTTTCCCTAGTCATGACTAACTGACAAACCATCTCAAGCTGCTTTATATTGTAAGTCAAAGACCCTTTAATAATACAGAGAAAAACCCCAATAATCAGATGACACCCTATGAGCAAGCACTTGGTAACAGTGGGAAGGAAAAACTCCCTTTCAACAGGAAGAAACCTCTGGCAGGGGCAGCCACTTGCCAAAAATGCTTGGGGATTAGGGGAGGAAGACAGGACAAAAGACATGCTCTGGAGTAGAGCCAGAGGTTAATAATAACCTCGTGATTAAATGCAGAGAGGTGTATAAACACATAGTTAGTGACAAAAGGTGAGTGAAGAAGAAACACCTCCAGAAGAAGCCTCCAGCAGCCCAGGCCTATATAAGCTTTACCAAAAGGAAAGTTTCAAGCACAATCTTAAGTAGAGAGGGTGTTTGTCCCCTGAATCCGAACTAGGAGGTGGTTAATTAAAAGAGCAGGTTCTCTAATATTGTTGGATCTTTGCCTTAAAATATAAAGCACCTCCAGGTGACTGTTGTTGGGATTTTGCACTATATAAATGAAATTGAATACCTTACTTTTAAATACCTTAAGAACCTAAAGTAAGCCAGTAACCTAAGAGCTAAGTGCTCTATTGGGGTGATAGAGAACTATGAGGTCTTTAAGATAAGATGGGGCCTGATTATTCAAGACCTTGTATGTTAGAACATATATGACATAGACACCAGCAGCGGCAGAGAAGACTGATTTAAACTACTAAAATAACACGTGAAGACGCTAACGCTAATGCTAAATGCAAACCTAACATTTCTGTGTTCAGAAAAAGGTCATCGTCAAGGTTCTCAGTATGTAAGGACTAATTTCCATGTGGAAAAGATTACTGGTGAGATGTCACTCTGTACCTGTTTTTCTCCTTGAGCTGCAGAGACCGTCTCTCATACAGATGCTTTCTGTCACACATGATGTTCTGCAGTTTCATTTCCAAGATGCCTCTGGTAATGGGAAAACACAGTGACACGCACGACAAAAATCCTATCTGAACATGCATTATTTATCTAATGAAGAAACCCCATCGATGGGGGGTGGGGTGGGGGGTCCACAAGCCAGTGTGCTCCTAGTGCCGATCCTACGATTGGTGAAATGTGTCAATTAAAGGGATATGAGTTGTTAGCACCACCAGAAAAGCACTACGTTCGATTCCCTAAGAATAGTCAAAGTCGCTCAGACTAAATGAAATAAACAAAAAAAGTACCTGTTGCCCATAAATTCGTTCAGCTCCTCCTTCTTGATCTCCTGCTCTTTCAGCAGCTGCCTCTGAATCCTCTGACTGGCCTCTACTTGGACCCTCAGACCCTCCAGCTCTCGCATCACCTCCTCCTTCTTCATCCTGAGGGAATGGTTTCGCTCATCCACCGCTTTTACTTGCTGCTCAATTTCTGAAATCTCCATATTTAGTGTTTTCATCTTCTTCATTGCAGCTCTGGTATTTGTGTTTCAGGAATTGGAAGAAATGTAAAAAATAAAGAACGAACGCAAGTATGAGAACAGGATAAAAGTGTGCTCTAGTGCATATCTTATGAAATAACAGCATGCGCATGCATCTTTTACATACACCCCACAGTACCCCTCAGCTTTGTGAATTTGAAATTACAAGTCAGCGCTCAAACAGCTTATACAGACAGTTCCACCGCAATACTCGCAAGCCAAATATTAATTTAAAAGAAACATAAAAGGAACTGCAGTGACGCAGCGAGTGAATCATCCTGCAGCTGCACTTGAATTACAATAAAAAGACTGATGCCTGAAAATTTTTGAGAGTTTGGGTAGTACAATAAAAAGTACCCCTCATTTCAGTTCTTTATTTGGTAGTACTGTAGATCAAAAGCCAGAGAATCTGCAGAAATGTAAACTGAAAAATGGTTTTCAGTAGGGAAAAAAAAGAAGAAAAGGACTGATATCCAAACAGACATTTTCACTGAGCATAAACAATTAAAAAGAGAAAATCTTTCCACTATGAGTCTTAAAGGTTCATCCAGATACTTTTATTTTGTTTGTGTACGAATTCCAGATGAAGGGGTGGAGGCAGGTTAGAGCAGTGGCTTTTCGAAAGTTGCTCCAGCTGTCTTTTCTTTTCTGTCTCTCTGAAGCACCCTAGCAGTCTCATTGACATTCCTGGAATTTCTAACTATATTCTCCTTGCTCTTCCCCAGCAAAGATTAGGAGGAGTTTACTAATATACTTACTCCTTCGTCGAGCGTTTCCTTTCAGTCTCCTTTAAAATCTGGTCAGGTATTCTGATGAGCTCGGCCTTCTCAGCCTTGTAATACATATGGAGACGTTCACATGTAAGAAGGCAGATTTGCTATTTTATTGATGGCACCCTATAAGCTATTCCCCCCTCATTCGCACAGACCTCTTTGAGCTCTACGAGAGCCTTCTTATCTTCCAGCTCATTCTGCTCTGTCAATATCTGCTTTTCGTGGGTTTCTATATCTTCCATCAGACTTCTGTGAAGTATAAACACAAGTACATTAACCTCTGGAACAATTTTCATTAAAGGCGTGATAATAAAGTGATAATATCTGCAGTAAGACACAAACTCACACAGAACACAGATAGTGGCTAATGCATGTTAAAACTTCATCATATAATACCTGATTTCTTGTTGTCTTTGTGCCACCTCTCTCCTCAGATCCTCATATTGATCCTGCATGACCTCTGTCTTGTCCTCCTGCTCCTAGAGGACCCATAGACCGTGTAAACCACAGACTGATAATACAGAATATCAGGTACTTTATAACGAATTGAAGCTCACACTTCGTATTTTTCAAACTGGTGGATGGGTGAAAGGATAAAAATGATTATTATACACAGTGAGCGTTTTTAAGTATTTCAAGTTAATGACCCAGACTGAAAATCAAGAAGCCAGAGTTTTTCCACATTTTTTAAATCTAAACTTTTCAGAACAAACCAATTGAAATTCAACATTTTTTTAAAACTGCTAGATTACTCTGACTTTACCTGTTAAATATAATTTATTTTAAATCTAATATACTGGTTCAACATCTGACTCAATGTAGTGTATATAAAAATAACAATACAGTAGGTTTCAGTGTATGTGGCATATACTGTATAGCTCCCTGGTCTAAATAGTGAAGCCAGTTGAGACGTGCCTTAAATTTGGATTCTTTAAATTGCTAAATTCTTCTAGTTGGTTCCAATGAGGTAGAGCAGGTCATCTGTAAATTGGAAGGTTGGCGGTTCAATCCCTGGCTCCAGGGAGCCAGGCAAGCCAGATACCCTTGGGCAAGATAGTAACCCCAAGTTGCTCTCTAATGCATCCATCAGAGTGTGAGTGTTAGACAGAAAGCACTTAAGAAAACAAATTACCTGAACAGCAAGCACGCCACCGGCAGTGGAACTGATTATTTCTTTGGCCCTGATGATCTTTGAGTTTAGAGTTTTATTATATTTTTTAATAACTTGTTTGGTTGGTTAAATACTACCCATGAGCCTCTTTGACTCATTAAAAACACTTTTTGAGTTCAGGCTAATTTGTAATGATCTGGTGTTGCACTCAGCAATTAAAACGGTAGCACATAAACACATGCAAATGTTATTAGCACTGCCGCTGAATTTATTCAGGAAATTTTGCAAAGCTCAGACTCTTTTGACATTAGCAGCACCAGCAATAAAATGTAGAAAGTTTGATGAAATTTATAAATGTAGTGCTCCTTGAGAGTAACCCTCGGGCTTGTTTGGCAACATCTGATAAAATGTTCTTCACTAAAAGTGTTGCTTGTTATGGTTTATCATTAAAATAAAATCCAAGGGTTGGAAATGCTACATTATGGTGAATTTTTTAATACGAATTTGGCCTATTAGGTCGATTTGTTATCAAGGATTAAATCTCATTCCACTTGTTGCCCTCCTTTTTGCTACAATGGAATAAAAATGATTTAGCTTCATACTGCTTGAAATGACAGTTCCAGCTCTTCATATGGAGGGATTACTGCATAGAGGCTTAAAGTAAAACTCATATTTATCCTCTTTCAAGACCATTGTTGGAATAGTAATCCACACCTCTGAAACTAGAACTGGATGGTGCAATAATGAACTTACAGCCGGTTTCATCTGAATTTCATTCTCTTTCTCCAGATACTGCTTCTCTTCCCAGAGACTGCAGGCCGGTGAGGGGAGGTGAAAAGTGAAGATCACACGAGAATCGAGGAGAATGTGGAGAAGAAAACAAAATTATCGGGAATTTCAAGAGGAATAAATAATCGTTTTCAGTTCTCAATTCAACAAAAAGAGGAACACACTGACACAAACCTGCATTTATATTGATAAAACTTGACTAATGTGCCGTTTCCAAAAAAGCGAATGAAGCAGAATCAACATATTATTAAAGAGCATGCCAAATAAGTTGCATTAGTAAATTCATATAAAACACTTTATTCTATACTGGCAAATACACCAACAGTGCTAAACACTTAGAGCATATGCTTCATCCTTTAGAAACAGATAAATTGTGTCCAGCAAAGTTTGACTGTGTATATAAAATATAATGTCTTTGCATATTTCATCTCCCCACGGCAGATGGTTTTTTTTTGAGCAGTTGATTAAAGTTTTGTATGAAATAATTTCAAGTCAGCTCTGTCATAATGAAAAACCTTACAAAAGCACATACTGTACAGCTCACAAAGTAAATTATATTAATCTTCCTGACAAGCTGATATATTGGATATTAAGTTATACACAAAAAAAACCTATAGAGAAAAATGCAGGAAGGCTGCAAAATGTGACCGGAAAAATGTGCTGAATTCCTGCGTATCTGTTTGGCTACAGATGAAGGACGCAGTGATTTTAAAAGGCATCTTTGCATGGTGAGCATCTGCTTGTCATATGCAGACTGATAGCCATGTGGACAAGTGAGGGGAAAGGGGAATAAGCAGGAGAAAAGGCAGGTATGGGGGGAGAGAATATCTTAGTCTGGAGGCGATGAAAAGAAGGGTGGCAGGAGAAACCGAGACGGTGGGAGTGCAACAGAGTTCACCAGCAAACGCTGTCACAAACAATATGCACAGTCAGAATGCAATAATGCCTATGACTGCATCCTGGGAGAATGCTCTGCAATTGGTTTTCATTTAATATTTCAATTACTGTCTGGACTACAACTTTCTGCCTGGGTGTCAGCACTAAAAATCACTGTATCCTACAGATCGTATCTTTGCTGCGGAGTGGTGAGTTTATGTGCAGTGAGTGGTTTTATATTGTGATCTGGAGTCACTGCAGTGCAGGAAAAATAAGTGTGGGGATTGAGTAAATGAGATCTTTTAGCAAAATCACAACAAGCTTTTCATCTTCTTCTGACCTTTGACTGCATTTTATTTGAGTTCTTTCTAAATACAATTAACAGTATTTGTGAGGGGTTCAGTGCCAAAAGCCGACCTGGGAGGCTACTATAAATCTGACTACCAGTTATAAACAGTCTCCACCACACACAGTTATTTCTTCAAACTTAGAAACTCTTTAGATTTTTCAGAAAACTTTTTAATCAGTCAACTTTTATCCTTCAATGTAGGTTTAATGTAGGTTCTTGCTCTTTAATCATGCTGAATGTCTTTGCCTGGCATTTATTTTTAACATTGTTTTCGAGGATTAATGCTCATAATGTTTGGGAACCACCAGAGAGTGTTATCATGTTGCTTAGCAATGTTCCTCTAAACTCCCTTTGCCACTTGAAAAAAGTTGAGTTTGTGTACAGAGGAAGGGGAGATACTCGAGCGAGTCTGGTATTTTCCATTTCTGTGGGTGTGTTTGACCTTTTGCACGAGCTGGACTGAGTGAGTGAGTGGTTGGGAGGAAAGCCTGCCACGAGACGCCAGCAGGATGAGAGTAAAATTGGTTGCGATAAGGACAGAGACTTATGGGTGTGAAAGAAAAGGATAAGAGACGAGGAACAGAAAGTACCAGACTGGTGTAAAATAAAAAAATGAAAAAACACTAACAGTGTACAGAGCTCAGATGAGTAAACATCTTACATCCGGATTGAACACAAATCCACTTGAGGCTGGTATTTGTATCAGTAATTGCGTACATCAAGTTTTCACCATGCGGTATCACTGAGGAATGCAATAGAAATGATGTAAATGCAATAACGTTCAGTCCTAAAGCAATGTTTTTATTTCTATTAGTGTGGAAGTGCGCTGTTGGCCAAGCGCTGCACAAACACAGCACCGATTTGATTTGAGTGTGTTTGTGTCTTCTACTCTTTCACCTTCTAAATTCAATAAAAAGATGCTGCCTCATGGAGCTCACTTCAGTGTTTGGTCCCCAGTTACCTGACTGTGTGCTACTGCGGGTGTGTGTAGTGTGTATGTGAGCGCGCTTGTGTTTGTGTGTATCCTCCAGTCAGTTTGTGTGTCCACTTCTCTCTTCACCACTGCAGTTTCATTTCTGTGTTTTTCCTTTTACCCTCTTGCTTCCTACTAGTGTGTCACGATTTTGCGTAGGTGTGCATATGTAACTTTCTGTGTCTTTGTTTGATTCATTTGGCTTTTGATTCAATACCTGATTGAAAATTGAATGTGTAGCCTCGCTGATTGTAGTAACAGTAACACACACTCACACACACATATACACTCACCACTTTAGCTGGTGTTGTGCCTTATATTCTCTCTCCTCAGCTGCTTTTAGTTCATTGCATGCCTGAAGGAGCTGTTGCCTCAGTTCATTGACCTCACTTCCTGGCTCCTCAGAGGTGCTCTTCTCCTCTATCCTCTCCAACTCCACCTGAAACCTCTTCAGCTCAGCCCGACACCTCTTTGCCTCTTCTAAAAGGTGGATTTCAGAATCCTGGGCACTGTTGTATGGAAGAGTGATTTAAATGTGTGGTTTTATTTTGTCATTAAACAGTAAATATCAGTTCAGTTCAGTATCACATAATCTCCACGAGGACATGCCAAGTTTTCTGCTTTCAGGTAATATCAGTTAATGCTGTTTGTTTTAAGCTAGCAAAATCCATTTAAATCCTTCTAAACCTAGGTCCATAGTGCGGTGGTTTACATATTCACCTAATAAGCAAAATAGGCTCAGTTTAATCACAGAAGGAGAGACAAATCCCTTTCAGGTTTGCATCAAGAAGGGTATCTGCCAAATCACAAAACGCAACCTGCTGTGCCGACTCTTTGTGAATAAGTGAGCTTTAAATCCCTATAAACCTAATGGGTCTGATCAGAAATTATTATACACAATCATTTGTAAAGAGAATCCAGTGGAAAGAAATAGGCGAACAGCTTCAGGCCTCAGTTAGCAGGCCTGTTAAAAGTTCATGACAGCACAATTAGAAGAAGACTGAACAAGCATGGCTTGTTTGGGAGGCTTGCCAGGAGGACACCATAGGCAGCATTGCTTAAGCTTGTAGAGCTCAATCTGAACAACAATCATAAGAATATGAGAACAATGCCCTTTGGACAGATGAGAACAAAACGTACAGAGCCACATTTGGAGAAAAGCACAAAATCATACCAACTGTCAAGCATGGAGGTGGAGGGGTGAGGATTTGTGCTTTTTGTGCAGCTACAGTACATTATACTGGACACCTTGTAGTTATTGAGTGGACCATGAACTCCTCTGTAAAAAAAAAGGTTTCTAGAGAAAAATATTTGGCCGTCTGACAGCCAAAGCTTGGCTTAAACTGCTTAAACTGGGCCTGGGCAACAGGTCAACAATCTCAAGCCCCAGTCAAAGTCCAGACTTCAACATGACTGAAATGCTGTGATGGGACCTTTAGAGAGCTATGCATAAATCAGTGCCTGAAGTAATTTTGTGAAGAACAGTGGGCCAAAATCCCTTCACAACGATGTAAGGGGCTGATAAAGTCATTGTGAAAATGACTGCTTCAAGTTATTACTGCTAAAGGTGGGTCTACAAGCTGTTGAATCCTGGGGCGTAATTAGTTTTGTCACTGATTTACTGTTAAGCTAATAAAGTTCAACATGCATAATCAGCTGTCCCAAGAAACTAAACTTAGAAATGTTTTAATAAGTGCTGTCAGCGTTAATCTCGTTAAAATGACGTTACGCGGCAAATTTCCGTTAGCGGGTTAACGCGGATCACCCCGTGCGTGGTGCTGCACGGCGCTAACGAGCTAACTGCGCTAACGCATTGACGTCGTGCAGCGTTGCTGCGTTATGAGGTTATGGCGTTAACGTCATTTTAACGAGATTAACGCTGACAGCACTAGAATCAGAACTAGTGTTCAAATCAGGAGACAATAACAGTGGAAAAGAAATATGTCTTGAAGACTTTTTTCTCTCACTGACAAGTGTTTCAGCCTATACAGCAGTTGTAGTGTCTGTAACCTCTTCACACTTCCTCACCTGCATTCTACAATTCTCTATCAACGTAAACAAAGCTGCTCTTCTCTTCTGAAAGTACATCGAAGATTTTAAAGGGTAAACAAGTGAAGCGTAACTGGATCTGACAAAGTGCTGGTTTTGCCCAAGGAAATGTCACTGCAGTCAAAAAATGATTCCAAAGTAGAACACAAAAAAAACTTGGTTTATCAAACATACCTCTTCAAGGTATCATGGAGGAGCTTGTAGGTAGATTTCAGTTTGGCAGCTTTGGTCTGGCTGATTCTGCCCATTGACAACAACTAAAGAACACAAAAAGAATATTAGTTTAACATCATCATGAAATTAAGAATGAAGAAAGATATCGGAGCTTTAGGCTGTTCGGGCTCAAACCCTCCTGCTGTCATTATCACAGAAAATCTGGTTGCACCCAGAGCTGCCTGTTCAAAAGGACAAATTAATAGAATATCATATACTACAGAAACCTCTTGTCTCCATTTCCCCCCGATTCAATATCCAAAAAAGTAAAACTGCTAGGAAACAGAAAAACAAAACTGCTAACTGACACGTAAGCAGTTTTCTTTAATATATCTTGTGACAAATTAAGTCCAAGAAGTTGAAAGCTAAATCAATAGATTCCATCTTCAAACATCAGAATAGTCCGAAATGAAACGAAAAAGAAAAAAACTGAGATCAACCACAACAAAGCGCAACCTCCCGATATCGGTAAAAGGATTCATCCCGAGTTGGGGTGAATAAACCTTTATCGCTGCAGCAGATATCAAAAAGTCAGAACACTTTATCGAGATCAGTAAGAAAAATCAAACAAACATCAAACTATGGCCAATCTCAAAAGATCAAGAGCATTCACTGAAAATGGCCCATATATGATGATAACTACAAGCAATTGAAGACAATCAATCCTTGAATGATTAATAAAGGTTTAAGATAAAAAAAAAAATACACAGTTGTGAAACTTTGGAAACCAGCAAAACAAAACACAGCGCAGACGAAGATATCAGGTCAAGAGCACTGCGAAAGGGAAATAATCTGCAAGAGTTGTGAAATTTCTCTCCCCACAAAGGGAGTTGTGTGTGTGTGTAACGGTGATAGAAACAGAGGACAGGTGTTGTTCCGGGCTTATCTTTAGAGCCAGGTTGGTGGAGAGGAGGGAGTAATGAGGGATAGCCTTGTCTGTATCAAAGAGCTGCAGAACTGAGGATATCTCAGGTCGGACTGTGTAGCAAGTAATCTAACGGCAATGAACACACACAAACGTTCTGATCATATATATACACGCACGTGGGCTGATATCTCACCTCGACTACAAACATTAGGGATAGGCGATTATGTTTTCAGATTCATCCTATTAAATTGTTTATCTGGCTATTGTCAAAATTGCTTGAAGTACCCAACCACGTTCCAAGGTCCGAAAGGACAAAGATATGAATGTTGTGAATGATTTAGATTAGGACTCTCTGGTTAATATGATTTATTACAATGTTGTTTTTTTCTGTTTTTTCTGTTTTTTTGGAAGGGGGAGGGGTCAGTCCCAAGGTCATATCAGTGTAACTACAACTGTGGCAGGTGGATCATCCCAAAATACGTCTTGAACTACTCTTTAATAATGACTTAATTGCCAAATTGAAACTAATTTACTTTAAAAAAAGGATCTGACGCTAAATTCTACACAGCCATTTGTGTTGTCAGCAGCACAGATGACACCAGTGATGGAACAAACATCCTGGCTGTAAACTGGGCATTTATCTGAGAGAAGCAGCCTGAAGCGCTTCCAGGCAGACTCTCTGATTCTGGTGCCAAGACTTATCTTGAGCAGCGGAGGGTACTGGAGGCTTTTAGGGGGTGGGTGCATGAGGCTCACATGTGGCAAAGCATCTCTGAAGTGAGGTAGAGACAATTACTGGAAGATATTTACTCAGGCATGTGGACGCACATCCAGTGGCTGTCCATCTTTCCCCCAACCTCTGCACACATAAGTGAGCATGTGATCTGTGCTGCAGAACAGCAGTAAAATGTTCCAGGAATATGAGTGTGTAGTGCAGCAGGTATGTGGAGTGTGTAACAAAAAGACACTTTAATACTCTGCACCCTCAGGGAGAAAAATAATGACAATAGCTACGAGGCAAAGCCATGAATTCCACGGCATGATCTCTTGCTTTCTATTTCTACCGTCATCTCCTCATATCGACTGACTGAACTGGAGTGGAGCCTACGGCCAAGCTGGATCTCTTTGTCAGGAGACGTTTTGTTCAGGAACATTTTCCTTCCTGGAGTGCCAGGTTTTAAACTTATTCTGTAGAAACGTGACATCACTTCTGCAGAAATAAGACATGTAACGAGGCAAAAAAATGCTCCAGAATGAGTAAGAAAAAACAACTGCACATTTTGTGGTTATGAATCACATAAGAAATTGAAACCATAGCTATGTCCCAGAAACAAACAATCAGTGCCAAGTTCATGAACCCACAAAAAGGAGCCTCCAAGCATCCAGCCTCATGTAGTCACTATGAGCCCTACAGAGTTCATGCTAATGGCTTTCATTGCTTAATAATTTCTATAAGATGCTCCAGGAGGGAGACTCATTCATGAGTAATGTTTGTGATGAAGTATGACTGCAATATTAATTATGACCATACAAAAACCACTGAAAATAACCACAGCGCCACTTTTTCATTACATACAAAAGCAAGTGTATTGTTCATTTGCTGATTAAGAAAGGCGTCATGATCTGTTTACATATTTAAATAAACAATATAGACCCATTCATAAATCCATTATTGGCGACTTCATAGCAGTTTTGAAACACAAAAACCATGTGAAAGCTCATGGATGTCTGCAGTTTGGTTAGATTCATTCAGCTCCATCCTGTACATTTATTGTAATAGAGTGACAGACCGCTGTTTTGAGGGATTCGGTTTTGGAGGTGAACTTCAAATTCGTTTTCTCTAGTGAAATCCTTATATAAAGAGTTTATAATATAGTGAGTGTTGTGTGTGTCTAGTAAAGAATAACCTAGTGACTGACATGGTCCAATTCTTCACTAGTGAGTGCAAGTGACAGCCCAATACAACTCAACACACCAAACCTCCACAGGTAGCAGTTCACTCGCTTTCTTCAGCTGTCAGGAATATAAAACCTAACTCTTAAATCCAATTTCTGCTTTGACACTGCTGAATTATGCACTGGGCATGCAAGCTAATGGTGTTTCACACAAATGCAAGCTTTGTTAGCCCAATAGCTAGCTGTTGTCTGCTTCACCAGATAAATAATAATAAATAAAAACGAATAAACTATGATTGTGTCTAATAAAAAAGTTTGGTCTCCTCTGTAGATGATAATTTGGTAATGTCATAAATTAGTGCAACTGCTCTTGTGATTTGGTGCTATATAAATACAATTGAATTGTGTGCAGTCATCGTATCAAAGTTTCTAAAGTTTCGCCCTCACTAAGCGATCCAACGCTGTTACCATGGACCAACAAGTCCATGGTAACAACAACCTGTTACCATGGACAGGGTTGCATTGACAATCCAACACAATGGGCAGCACATTGAACACATTTTATAAGTGGTCAGAAACTTGTAAATAACTCATGAAAGAATAAAGTTACGTTGAAACCAAGCACACCATTGTTTTTCTTGTGACATTACCAATATGTTTGATGTGTCACATGGCCGTCTTCCTATTGAAAAAACAAAGGTTGTATCCAAGATGGCCGACTTCTAAATGGCCACCATGGTCACCACCCATCTTGAGGAGTTTGCCCCCTCACATATACTAATGTGCCACAAACAGGACTTTAATATCACCAACCATTCCCATTTTATTGTGGTGTATCCGTATAAATGGCCCACCCTGTACACAAAACTGAATAATAAAATGACAATGAAAATGACCATTTCTACTGAATCACTGTATTGCGACACCATCATTATCATAGGGATGTATTATGGTAGGAGTGTATCTTAAGTTATTCTGTGATCACCACCACTACAGGAGACAAGGTAAAGTTTTCAATGAGAACATAAATGCCTAAACATATTGCTGAAGTGCCAGCCAAGGCATTGTTCATTAACCGTAAGCCTTGCAAATTCCTGATTTTGTATTTATAACATTTCTGTTTTCCTTCATTGAAAAACTAGACCTTCTTCCTGATGAATCATTAAGTGGGTCAGATAAAGAGCACCTTCAGTTAATCACATTCACCCTGACTGGAAGTGAAGCTACTTCAGTTAAAAAAAGCTGTTTTGTTCTTAGTAAAGTGTTGCAAGTGTAACGTGCCTGCTGTTACATAAAACGTGCTTTTCATTACCATATTTTCGCCACACTAGAGAAAAAGAATTGAACAGCCGTTCCAAACATTTCCTGACATGACACATGAAAGCACTGTGTCAGAAATGTTCCAGACTCATAATCACCAGCAACTGAACACCAAAAGAATAAATAAATAACCGGTAGAAAGGTGGAAACAGAGTACTGGGGAAAATTATAGAAATAGTTGTGCAACAATGAAAAACAAGTTTAAACAAAGCGCGCTGTCCGACTTTGAACATTGTGTAGGCAGGGGGACCTGCAGCTATCCAGTCATCGAACAAGCACTCAGGACAAGTACAAACAATTGGCTTTAGTAAGAAATGCTAAATATGAATATGTATTTGAATTTGTGTCCAAGGACAATCCAAAGGGCACCTTTAAGATATGGTTATAGAAGCTCTCTAGTGCCACGTCTTATTTGAACTGAAATGTTTTTCTTCATTTTAATGTAGGTTTGTAGTCTGCAAGTGTATTACAGTGCAAAAATTAAATCTTATCACGACAGCGTATCAGTACACACTCAATATTCAGAAAATCTCAGCATTCAGGTGAAACTCATTTTATAAAAGTCTCTAATGAATGTTATGCTCAATTTGCAAGATCCCAAACAGGCTCAGTAGATGAAAGAAATTGCCAGCTTAAACAAACTGAAACAAACCTTTTCTCTGGTACTAAACCATATATACACAGGAATTGAGCACATCCGGAGACAATTGAGAGACTTTAGCGCAGTGGATGTTATCAAGTGTTTTCAGTAAGGCTTTGGAATCTGAACCAGGTCAACGAGGGGTCTTTAAATGTTAAAAACTGTGGGGAAAAAACAGCATAAAAAAAAAAGAGTAGTGAGTGAATAGTTCCTGTGGACTGAGTCATTCTGCTCTTCGGGGAAATGAGCTGACTTGAGAATATGGCAGGATGGCAGCATGCATGGACTGCAGGCAAAGGACTCTGCCTCTTTCTCTATCTACCAACCACCACCAATCTTTCTTTTTTTTTTACAGTGCTGTTGATATGGTGTTTTGCATTACGCAATAGTGCTGCCCCTCCCATCCTCTGAAAATCAGCACATTCCCTCTCTCACATCCCTTTCTCTACCTCTCTCTCTCTCTCCCTTCCTCCCTCCCTCACTTGTCCTGATATTAATGACACAGCTATCTGAGGCAGCGGCAGTTCCCCTGCGCTCTTTCCCTCCTGCAGACTGCACTCATACACATGCACACACTCTCTTACACCAAATAAGATACTGGACACACATCCACACACTTACACAGGACATCTGCAGGCACACACACATGCACACACATACAAAAACACTACTATACACTCCAAGTTCACATCAGAGGCAGACACAGACGCTTTCTCTTTACACACACTTATTTAAAAATCTCACAGAAGAATGAGGACAATTGGACTTTGCGTTTGTGCTGGTCTCCTGCTTACAGGCACCTTATTGCTCAGAATCAGCCAGGCAGCAGACTTTCCTGGTAACTCTCACCAGCGATGGGACTCTAGAGGATCCTACCATTTGGGATTTGAGTCTGGTACTCCCACTTCTTGCCCTGTCAAACTTAGACCTATGGGCCAGTGTGGGAGCTCTGGGGCAGAGGACGGGGAGGACTGCCCTTACCAGATCACTCTGCCTCCCCTCACCATCCAGCTGCCCAAGCAGTTCAGGCTGCTGGAGAAGACGATGAAGGAGCTGCAGAGCCTGAAGGAGGTAGTGAACAAACTGAAAAGCGGGTGCCAGGAGTGCCGTGGGGCACGGGGCAACGGAGTTTTTGGACACCAGCAGGCAGACCAGATCCCGATTCAGGGGGATGCCGGGGAAAAAGTGACGGGGCAGGAGGTGCAAGGTGGATCCAGCCAAGAGGACAGGGGAGATGGGATGGTTCCTGGAGCTACTGTGGATGCCGCAAGACCGGGTTCAATTTTTGGGAAACCTGCTCTGAGCCAAAACATGCAGGAGATGCAGGTAAGAGGCAAAGTTATTACACTTACAGGAAAAGATATAGGACTGAACCAAGGAATAAATCATTTACCTTACAAATACACTTGGTTGAGCTCAAATTGATCATTTTTTCACCTTGATCTAAAATTGTTTTGGTATAGTTCAATCCAGTGTGCATTTTCTGCTACATCTGTAGAGCACAGAGGTGTGTACAACATGTGAAATAGTAGCACTGCACCATTTCCTCTGTTTCCTCTGTTCCATTAAAACCCTGCAAATTGTCAGAAAGCCAGATCTTTAGCAGCTTTGTGAAAGTGTTAGGGGACGCTGATATGAAACGCGCTTCATGCTTCCAGTCAGATGCGCCCAGCTGGAATGCAAACTGACCAGATGTTAAAAGACACGCAAAGTCCTACCTGGCGCCACTCCGCTAGGGAAAATTTCTGGTACAATAAGCAGGGTGGGAAAATCGGAGTTAGACACCAGCCCAGTGACAGTAAATTTCTGCCGTCTGGTAAGCTTATTGACTCCCACAGCCACTTTGGCAGACAGCCTATCGTAACGCAGACTTTGTTTCCATTCTAAAATTCAAATTGGCTGGTGAAACAATGAAGGAGGCTGGTGACTTCGGTAATCTGCCTGCTTTGTAGTGCGTGCCAAAAATAATTTCCTTCACGCTTGCTCTGGCCTTTCTCAGGTGAAGCTGAATAGGATGTCAGCCAGCCTGCGCAATGCCAGGAACCAAATCTCAGCTCTGCAGGGTCGACTGGAGGGAATCAACCTCCTTAACATGGAGAATGTGCAGGCTATAGTGGACAGGCGGGTGGAGAACATCACCGGAGTGGTCAACAAGCTCAGCTCCAGCTGTACCACCGAATGTCCAGCCCAGACTGGCCCTCAGTGTAAGCGTGCTTTTATTAAGATAATTAATAATAATAATGTTCTCTACATTGTTATACTTAACCCTCCATTCCTTTGGTCCTGTTATTTTTCGTCTGATCTTGTGATCTGCCCTCTCCATCTTCCCAGTGACAAGGGCTCTCAGTTAAAAGAGAATGAGTTTTTCTGTTATGTTTTATTCTGTTATATCTTTGCCATTTCATGTTTCGCCCCCCTTTTCTCTTCTGTTCTTCTCACATTTTTGTAATCCTTCTGAGCATGATCAAGAGTGCACTTTTAAATTTTTTATTTCCTAAAAAAATGTTATTATTGTAATAAAACTGGTTGGTTAAATAAGTTTAGCAGTTCGGGGTTGCAGGGGGATATATTTTCTGGCATAGGCTGTATTCAGTCATTCCTGAGTGGACATTATAATCAACTTCGAAAATAATCAGAGTAAGGGTGTTTACTTTCACCCAACAAGACCTTTCTTCCTGGGAAATGAAAAGTGAAATCTTCTATGTTGCCAGTGTCCTTGTCAACCACACTCACTGGTCTGTTGCAACATGTCTCCTCCATTACTGATATGAAGAATATTATATATTTAGGTGTAGTCTCGATTTGAGAAATGGAATTTTCCATCATCTTAATGCGTACCAAAAGGTTACTGTATTCATTACATTACTGGAGTGGAGTGGCTGGTTCAGAGTAGCCAGTGCACAAATGGACAGAGTGAAATAGCTTTAAGTTGAGCACATACTGCACTGGAGTGAAGCAATAGAACTTGGTTCAAAGCGAGAATTCACTTTAACTCTTACATAACTAACCGAAGTGACCCCTCACTACTCTCCATACGCACAAACTCAAAAAGGGAAGGCAGAAAAAGACCCGCACTTGAAAGTAGGAATGCACACATAGTGAAACTCTGGGCCGATACAGATCGTCAGTGAAATGCTTTAAAGTGTAACAGCATCACGCTATCTTTGAACAATTAGCCAGCATGAAATTGATTCGAGCAAAATAGATGAATATCACTGACACCAGTAGATGCTGTTGTACTTGGAGATATCAGCCAACAAACCAACACTAGCTGATATCGATATTTTTGCAGATTAATCAGTGCTTCCCTGCTTGGAAGTTTTATGACCGTTTAAACAAGCCTGCGATATTGTATCTAGAAACAGTGGGGGTTGCAGACTAGCTAAGCAAAACAAATACCCCACTTTACATTGATGCAAAAGCTATTTTGGATGCGAGCACAGTAGAAATGCAGGGCACTTTCAGAAAGCAAATACTATCCAGTACTTCAGTATGAATGTTACACTATATTGGGGCTTTTATGTAGAAAACAGATGTGAGCTTATTTCTAAGCAGATTAGCTGGAACAGTGGTGTGAAGGGAATCCCATCCCTTTCTCTTCTGTTTGCTTCTCCAACTTGCTTCTTTCTCCTTCAAACCTGATCATTTTCCCCCTCCCTTATGCATTTATCCTCAAAGCATCTATACCCTCTCCTCATTTTTCCTCTATTTCATATTTCTTTTTCTATTGCCCTACCTCTTACTGTCTCCCCCTCTTTAATTCTCTTTCCTAGTCCCTTCTCTCTGCTTCCCTCCCTGCCTCCTTCTGGAGGTCATGCTCTTGGATGCTCATTACTGCATAAAAAGACAAGCTCTCATTATCTCTTGCCAATACCACAAGTAATAATGAAGGCGGCTTTCCTGACACTACAGTAGTCACGGATGGCACCCAGGGTCAGTAGCACTTGTCTTTGTACATCTATCTGCTTTGTTCAGGTCAAGAACTGGATAAGCATTCGACTTCAGCTCAGGAAACTGTGCCTAATGGTGTTTGAATTCCATCCAAATGTAGCAGAAAAGAAACAGCTGCTGTTACCGAGGAAAGCGACCAATACGTTGTGTTAGGGTGTTTCACAAGATCACTCAAATTAGACATCGCGATAAAAAGTTACTCCAAAAGTTGCTAAATGAACATCTTTTAGAATTTTTCTTGTCTTAAAACTTTAGAACCAGATGCTGATCATGTTCATCTGCCAGCTCCTAATGGGCCGAGTAAAACAGACTTTCACTGATAAGAGTTTCCTGGTTATTTACCACAATGTCAAAAGTGTTAAGTGAAGCAAAAAATAAACTATCTAGCATTTTAACTAAAGCTACATAAGGCATTTCTGGCAGGTTAAAAAATTGCTGTAGGCCTTTTACACAAACTACACTGACAAATTTTAAAAAATGCCAACTTTGTGAGGACCGTAACCATCATTTAACCCAATGTAGAATTGCAATTTCACCATTAATAGGGAGTAAAACTACATTTGTCAAGATGCTGTTATCACTCAAAGTGCTCTAAGCGTTCATTTTCGCTCATTTTGCCAATTTCCATTTTTGCAACGAGCACTGATCTTCACTTTCACTCCTGCAGGAAGCATAGAAATTCATGTCCCTGTTCAGCTACATTAACTCAATCATACAAAATGAGAATAGATGTTCAGTCCTCCATCAAGAACTGCTCGTTTGGAAATTTGGTGTCGGGCAACTTCATAAGGGAAGCACGTTTTTTTTTAGTTTCTTTCCATCAAAACTGAAGTAGTATAAGCAGTAGTATGCTATCGCTTTCGATACACATTTCCTCAGTTGACATGAGGCCTACTTCTTGATAATAATTGTCTTCCTTTTATGAGAATCACTTGTGTGGTCTGAAGTCAAACAGGCAAAGCGCCAAGAGTCAAATCAGTCTGTCAAAATGTCATCTATAAAAAGCATGTCAGTCAATATGGCGTGGGACTCATCAGCCTATGTCAGTCGACTTGCCAGTTAAACAAGTGAGTAAGAAAGAAGAAGAATGGGGAAACTTTGCTGTGGTAAAATTGTTCGAACTTTCCCCTCAGAGCAAAACAACATATGAGTCATGTTCCAGTGCTTTGTCTGACTTCTGACTGCTGTGCGATTTGCGGGGAAAAGTCATGACATAGGCTAAAATTGCTGCTTCGATGAGTTTACAGGGCCTTCGTTGTCAAGGTTAGGATAGTAATGTGGGTACCAGTCAGGCTTTTACCTCACGCTGTTTCTCTGCTGTCCACAAACAACAACTCAGAAATGAGTACATCCCCTAGCGGGCTTTGTCCTTTTACTGTAAACATACACTGTTTTGGGATCATTTTCAGAAATGACACATATCACTTTCCTTTTCCCAGACCAATTAGCTATTAATTTCCCTCAACAGTCACATAAGACAGCCCATCAGCCAAGAGTTTTTCAGGAACGAGTAAGTGGCTGATATTAGAGTTATTTAGGTCAGGCACATTGCCAGACGTACTGAGATGAAGATCACTCTTGTCTGTCTCGGGACACTGACTGCCCAGTCAGATAGATGGGGACAAATAGAAAAGAAGATGTAAAGTGGCGACGCTGCAGTCAGACGCTGAAAGTGAGTGTGACACTGAAAGAATTTACGGGTCAATTCTTTTGTTGCCAAATGCCGACCGAGCTGTTAAGGTGACAAGGATACATTTCAACCTTGCGATCGACTGCCATATGGAGTGATTTACCATCTGCAGCTATTTTGTACTTGAAGCATTCAAGTGTAATGTTGTCAGAAAACTTATTTAGTGAGAAAAATAAATGTTTGTGCTCCATCTGCTAGTTCAGTTCCTTTTAAAATAGAAATACAACTATCCACAGCAACATGCATTTTTCACTCTACAAACACTATTCACTCCCTACACCTGTTTTCCTTCCTATACCAGTACTACTGCTGGGGTATGAGCACCGCCTACCCCAGCACTATTATAATCTACTGCACCTCTAGAGAGATTAAGGACTATGAGAACACTGTATCATCAATGGAGCGCATCTAACACTCAAAAGGAGTCCAACATGCTGCCTGCCCAGTGTCAGGACAATTTAGACCCAAGGTGCCAGTGTGCATGGAGGGGGTATGGCTCTCTAATCCAGTTTTACACTTTCCCACGTTTTAACAAGACTGTTCCATTCACTTCCAAAATCCTAACTGACAGGAGTCTTTGGACCTTGGTTTTGGATTGATTTGGTAGCCTGCAATGCGACACAAGGGATGGGAGGAATAGGTAGACGAATAAGTGGCCAGGTAAAAAAAAAGTGCTCAGAATCCATTGAAGGTATACAAAATGGACTTGTGTTGTAGCACGTGGGGAGATAAGAGGAATTTATCCCCTGGCAGAGGCTGTTTCTTCAATGGTTCTAAATACTATATTTCAGATAAGCATGGATATATTGTGAAATACATATTTCACAATCAGCTTGTTTTTAATGTTATTGGTTACGGGAAGACGTCTGACAGGCAAAAAGAATGTGGTGAAGTGGTGTTTTTGTGTTTGAATGCATTCCTCTTAAATGAAGGTAGGGATGAGAAATTCCACACTGGATTTCCTACTAACCTATCTCATTTTCTTTTCTCCAGCCTTCCTCAGCCTCAGGGCCTGTTTCTATTACTGTCTCAGGGAACAATGCCAGACCAAAGTGAAAATATTACTGAATATCATCCAGTAACATCTGCTTATAACTACTCTCCCTTCTCTCTTTCTCTCTGCCACCCATGCAGTCATCTTAGCCCCTCGGGACTGTTCAGACTACAATGTGCTGGAAGTGAGGAGGAACGGTATATATCGTGTGACACCTGACGCTCGCAATGGGACGTTTGAGGTATTCTGTGACATGGAGTCCTTCGGAGGTGGCTGGACTGTGATACAGCAACGCCTCAATGGGTCCGTCAGCTTCAACCGCACCTGGGCTGAGTATAAAAAAGGCTTTGGGAACCTCAGGTTAGTTATTTTCTTTACCCCTCCTCTTCTACAATTGGGTATTCCTCTGATAATTTAGCTCCTAGAGGAAACAGCCAATGGCTTCTGCTGTACCGGATATCAGGATAACGTATAGGCAGGTAAAGCCCTCCTGGGGTCTGTAAGACAAAGCATGCTCAGCATATTCAGGATATCTTTTCCTTATCTTGCTTCACTTATTCAAACATCAGCAATCAGCTTAAGCAGTCACGCAACGGTGGTTATGAACTGGATAAGTAAACCCAGAGCTTTCCAATATATGAACGCATTCACTCAAATTAGTGTTTAGATGTGTATCTACTACAGTGGTTGCCTTATTCTTTCACCTGGAGGCCTAGATGTCTGAGAGCCATGTTCCCCAACAATATATTAAGGCTAATAGAACAATAAAATGGTTTTAAAATGGCCTGCAGCGAAGGTAAAAGAAAGTGAAGGAACAACGTTGCTTTTAAGAATCTAGATTTATTACTGAGGTTCATCGAGTAAAGAAAAAGATCCTAGATGCCTAGGTCCTTTTGAAATACCTTTAGGCCCTCTTACTATCTGTGCACCAAGGTCTAAGCGATCCTCCAGGAATGGTGATGCTATTTTCCAAGGAACTGATTGGTCAGTAGATGGTGATTTCATACATGTGGACCTCTTATCTTGACCATAACCTGTTGTGGAGCAGGTTAGGTCTGCAGCACAAGTTACCATGGTGATAGTAAGACTCAAACTGCTTTTGTAATACTGAAAACACAGGGTTAAACTCAAAGTTACCAGACGTTAAGCCCAAAAACTGCTTCTTAGTACAGGAATCTGTCCAGTTATTGTTTACAGTCTGAATCTGAATGTGTATAAACCTTTTAAAAAGCCAATAAAAGGCTTAATCCATATATTTTCCCCATAGAAAGAGCATTAGCTGTCAGACGCAACAGATAAAAGAAACACAAACATCCCCTTTTGAAAGACATTCTTAGAATAACAAAATGTGCCACGCATCATGTGTATCAGTCAAGCCTTAAGCCAGTGAGAGCAAGGTTCTTTGTTCACAGAGAAGCTTCAAAGTTTACGCTGCCGGCTTGCAACCAAACTCCTTACATAATGTATCTGGTTGCAAATGCAACGACTGACACTGAAAACTCTTTTTAATGTCATGTGACACAGTGACATTAAGCAGGTCCCGCCAAGGTTGGACAACTTTTTTAATTAGCATGCATTGTTTTAAGTCAGCACTACACACTACTGCTTTAAGTAGTGTAACTCAACTATTTTCTGGACCCTCATTACACTAGAGCCTACCACATGCTCGTCTAACTAGCTGCAAGCTATACAGTTTGAAAGAATACACAAAAACAAGCAGTTTGTTCAATGTATTTATTTTTTGTCTTGCTAGTAGGAAATTGTTCATCTATACTGTTGTTTTACCAGTGAATTAGAGCTCATTTAATGTCATGTGCTACAGAATACTTTCACCAAAACCTGAGAGAGTCTAATCCCTCAGTACTTAGGAGCTAATGATGCACAACTGTTCTCTATATCACTGTTTGTTCAACACCTGTTTTCATTATCAGTGATTGATTATCATGCATAAAACTAAGGGGAAGTATAGAGATATTTAAAAAAGATCAGAACTTTTTCTGTGTGTTTTGGTCTTTGGTCCACATGATAACACTGTGAGTCTGCCATATTTGTAGTGCTGTTGTATGTACAGGAAGGACTGTTATACCCAAAGTATTCAAAGTGGAAAACCGAAGTGCTGCATTCCATCATGCATTGTGTTGAAGTAAAAAAGACAGAGTAAAGAAACAAAAGAAAGCGGAACACTAAATAAACTGCCACAAAGTATTTAGATTCATCAACTTGAGGAATTACACTCTGTTCAACGCACTTATCAGAAATATGCACGTTATTAGTCACTTATCTAACCGATGTTGATCTATTCTGCTCTAACTGTGTGACGGCGTTGATGTAACGAGACAGAGAAAATGAGGCGAATATTATCAGAAGCCATTTTTCCATTTTGTTATTGGGCTCGCTATTTAGCTTTCTACATAAAACTCCTTATACAGGGAGTAGAGAGTAGTGAATGATCACAAGTACAAAAGCAACATTTCTGGCTCGTGACATAAGGCCAGCAAGAGTTTATGGCTTTGAGGTCAGGGTAATACTGCCTGTTGGTTTGGCATGCTCTTAAACCCCATTCGTTTCATTTTTATCTTTTTGTGCAGACTTATTTACTTAGCAAATGAAGGAGAAAAGGCACCATTTTCAAAAGAAGACTCAAGTTACATGTGGACTAGGCCTTAGGGAAATGATGACCACAGTAGATGATCTGACCCCGTTTCAACTGATCATAAAGTTGCAGATATAAAACAAATTATTCAAAACAACCTTCTAAGCATGTCTGAATATCCAGCATTAAACTCCCACTAAAAGAATGTCTCCTCTCCTCCTGTACTGTTTTCCTCTATTGGAGTACACATGCATTTTGCTTAAAAAAAAAAAACCTATTGAAATTCTAACCCAGTATGTGAGCTTTATATATATATCAGCATGCCTCATTTTGTTCCTTTCTATCCTGCAGAGGTGAGTTCTGGCTGGGCAATGACCATATCCATTTGCTGACAAAAGCAAAAGATATGATTCTGCGTATCGAGCTAGAGGACTTTGAGGGTGTCCGGGAGTATGCAAAGTATGATCAGTTCTATGTGGCCAATGAGTACCTACGCTACCGTCTGTCTGTCAGTGGATACAGGTACAGGGTTCACTTCTGCACATGCAATATTTCTCATTCGCAGTTGCTGCTAGAACACCTTAAACTGGAACAGCACACCTTATATATATCAATGTCTCATTACAGCGGGACGGCTGGGAACGCCCTCAGTTTCAACAAGCACTTCAACCACGACCAGAAGTTCTTCTCCACACCCGACCGCGACAACGACATGTACCCCTCTGGGAACTGCGGCGGCTACTACAGCTCCGGCTGGTGGTTTGATGCCTGCATGTCTGCCAACCTCAACGGGAAGTACTATCACAAGAGATACAAGGGAGTCAGGAACGGGATCTTCTGGGGAACGTGGCACAACATGTCGACCGAGTACTACCCCACCAACTACAGGCAGGCCTTTAAAACTGTCAAAATGATGATACGGCCCAAGAACTATGGTCCTTAAAAGGACAGGTAAATATTGGTGAGTGCAGTCATGCAGGCAAAGACAAAGAAAATGGAAGAGCAAGTACATAAGGACTCATACACACATACACTCACTAGTAGTCATGCATTTACACATTTACACATGCATACGTGTGCACTGATAGGACTATAAGTAGTTTGGTGCATTAATGATAACAATAATTGCAAAAAATTTAAGTGTGCTATTACTTTTCCACTCTAGTGAGTGTGGCCTTCAAAATGTTGGATTAAAATGATGATAATAAAGAACAATGGACTATGAACAATGATGGACTAATAAATTTTTTTTTTTTTTTTTAAAAAAACCTCCCATGCAGTGTAGGCGAGCCTCCTACGTGGGCCATAACATTAAATTGAGGGTTACCAGAAACGATTTTTTCACTGGTCTTTGACATTTTTTTTCTCTTTCTGTCCTGCTGCCTCCTGCCATAAACCCAGCATAGAAACACAGCACAGCACATACTAGTAGTAAAAACTAATGAGCTATCACTTTCTCTGCTGTAAATGATTTTGTAATTAACAGCAGCCACCCAAGTGAGGTATACGAGAGCTGATGATACAGTTTTGAGTGGGTCCGATAATCGTTACGAAAGACTTCAAGCTGGAGAGTCAAACTGTTAGAAAAATTACAGTCAGTAATAAATGTATAGCTTTACTTGGCCCTTCTCTGGCATTTATCTCACTGCTCTCGGGCAGCTTGCCGATATATCATTACCCCATACCACAGAAGACATCCCAGTATAAATACGCAGCATCCAATAAATTTCTATTCAGTCATGTATGTGTGTGCATTCTGCATTATTGATGTTTTACTAGATTCTTCTTGAGAGCAGCCACGAAGCAGGACATTGCAGTGAGGGAAAAAAATGTGTTTCCAAGCTTTGGATGCACCGAATTACTGCACACTTCTCTATGCCATAATCTGTAAAATCCTCTTCTTGTACAATACTGCTATCTAATGTTAGGAAACTGTATAGCACCATTTATTTCATTTTATACACACTGTAAATGGGAAGGATTGGGGAAAGAAATGCTTGACTATGAGGATGTGTACAGTATTTATTTTACTTTGAGAGGTATGATAGCTTTTATATGATACAATGGTCATGCAGTACAGAGTCTAATGATTGATGATATTTGAGTAATGACAAGGACTAGGCATAATTGTGATCATTCATAGTAAATATCTGTGTAAAATTGGAATTCTTTGTGTGTATCAGATTGATCTTTTCTATCATTCATATTCAGCTGTTGTGCCAATAGATATGCAATTTTTATATTGGGGGAAAAAATGAAATTAATATTCCATGGCTGTGTTGCACATTTCAGTGTTCGGTCGGTTTAAAATCCTTTTCATGCCTGCTCCACTTGTGTCCTGGCATCGCCTTTCAAACGAATGTATACAAAAAATGTATACAAGTTTCGCATGAGTGTCTTTGAAAGTGTCTGCCGTCTAGTGTCCGAGGCTTAATGAGGCTTGTAAAAAATGCAGGATGAGGTGCTGCATGCCCATAACAAATGGGTTTATGAGGTGTTGAACCAATAAAGCTGCTAAATAAAAGGCAGATTTCATATTGGCTTCGCAGAAGATGATAAAACTGTGGGACTGTGACTTTACTGTCTGTTTACTGTCTGTGATGATAAAGTTAATAAAAGTGTTGTGCTCATTCACAGGATGACTTCAAGTCCTAAATATTCACTTTTTTTTCACACTTAATGTTTATGACAAACACTTTAACGCACATTATGTATGTGCAATGCTTTGATATCAGAAATTAAACTGCAAAAGAATGGAGGAAATAACAGTCCTGAACATTAGCCTTGTGCAAATAATGCATCTATATCATATTTGATACTATTTTCTTTTCTTTTGAGTCATGACAGTTAAATCTGCCACTATAACTATCAAATAGGGATGTTTGTCTTTCTGAAAACAATTTAAAAATGCCATTCACAAAATAACAACATACCAATGCACATGATTGTTACCTCATCTAAACACTGGGATGCAGGACTAGCAGAGACCACAATGGAGGCTGGGGGCTGCTTTTCTGGGAGTGAAGCATCGGGTGCAACGGCCACTAGAGGGATGTCCTCCTCCATTCCCTTATCCTCATCTTGCTCTTCCACTTCAACTTCTGCACTCTGAGGCCTGCATTCTGTCTCCTCCTCGGATGGATTCACTAGTGATTGGATCAAAACATAATAATATTTAGGACAGAAACACACTAAACAAACATTAGTATCCTACAGGCTGCGTGGGACAGGAATCCGAAAATATGTAAATATATGTTACACCAAAGTCCTGGTACACAGTTTCAACATTTAATGGCCTTCCCTATGCTTGCTTACCAATAAATAAAACATAAGACTAAAAGTGGGCAGCACAGCGGTGCAGTGGCTAGCACTGTTGTCTCACAGTAAAAAGGTCCTGAGTTTGACTCCACTATATGGCCGGGTCCTTTCTGTGTGGATTATATATGTTTTCACCCCGTGTTTGCGTGAGTTCTCTCCGGGTACTCCGACTTCCTTCCACAGTTCAAAGACATGCAATTAGCGGGGTTAGGTTAATTGGTAATTCTAAATTGCCTGTAGGTGAGAATGGTTGTCTATCTGTGTGTTAGCCCTGCGACACACTGGCGACCTGTCCAGGGTGTACCCCGCCTCTTGCCCTATGACAGCTGGCGACTAAACCTAAACCTAACCCTACCCCTAACCATAACCATAACCCTAAGAAGTATTCCAGATGGGTGACAGAAAAAGAAGCTAATTCGGCGTTGGTTTTGTGCGCATGCGCCTCCACTGCGCAGAAACATTGGGTAGGATGTTTTTTCAGGTAGGATGGATTTCCAGAACACCGGAAATCAAAATCAATAAATATTCTTTTTAAACGTAGATCCCACAAAGTAATTCGTGAGCACTGTCCTAAACATATTCAGAAAATTTTAAGATCATGTATATTATTAGACCTGTAAACGTCACACAGAAAGCGTACTTTTTCGAAAAACGCAAAAAGACCAAATTATGACAACTTATCGGCTATAACTGGTGCTAAGCGGCTCCAGCTTAGTTTCTGCTTCTAAATTCTGTTAAGGCACACGAGAAGGCCATAAAAATAGGGAAAAAATGGGCTAATGTGATACAAAAAGGTGTATACAACATAACAATACAGCACAAGTGTACAGCAAGTGTGTTGTTCATTTAAAGCATGCAGAAACTTACTTATTAGCCAGTTTACTTGCTGTGTCCGGTTTTTTGGTGTTTGTTAGATAAACAAGGAAACACATTCCTTATTGTTATATCTCTGGAGTCTTCGCAGGCCTTTTTAAAATAATAATAATAATAATAATTTCACAGCCAATCTCAGCAAAACCCAATCACCGACTTTTCACTTTCGTGGTGTGTTGTGGTTACCATAACAACGACGCTATACGTCCACCTTAATATAAGGAGAAAGCCTTGAATTATTTCACCTTTACTGAAGAGTAATGCGCAAGCTATGGTTATTTTTTTCTACTTATCTACCGTTTTCTCCTGTTTTGTTAATACACAAAAATCCCAACGGACTTGAATTGAAAACAAAAAACAAAAGTCATTTTACACTTGCAGCGCATGTCCTGCAGATGGCGTTAAATTACAGGTTAATTTTTTTTTTCTTTTTCTTTTTTATCTCTAGCGCTTAATCGCCATGTGTAATGAAACTGGCTCCATGGAACAACAGCCAGCTGGCTGAACACCCTGAACTGGTGAGTGTTGAAAACCTTATAATGATATCCAGGGTGAAAGATGGCAGACATGTTCTCCTGTGTTTAAAATATTTTCCCACAGTGGACTGTGGGAGGTGGCATGACCTATAACTTATTCCCGGCAACAGCTGCTGAGATGTGTTGTCTCAGCAGTGCATGCTGGTATGTGATCCGTTCAAGATGTCCCATTAGGAAAGGATGTGATATTACTACAAAAGTTGTGAGTTTACTGGCACCAGGAAAGAGAAACCTTCTTGGACTTCATTTCTTTAGGGGCTTGGCAATCCTCAAAAATTTGTTATTTGTTGAATTTTATTTTACACTTACTTGACATGTCCAATATGTCTATTGGCTACACACACACACACCACAAAAAAAAACAAAAACCAACTCATCTTCTAAGTGTGAGTTCTTTTTTTGTCTAGAAAAGTCATAAATTGTGAATAGTAATGCAGTCATGTGCATTCACAATGCCATGTGTGCACCCAGTGGAGATGCAGATTCATACATCAAAGCCCTGACAACACACACACATATACTTTATTAGGTAAATGTTGCTAGTGGGGTTGGACATAATTTTGCTTTCAGATTCAATGCTGGAAACATTCCTTTAGATATTTTGGTCCATAATTCACATGATAGCATTATGTACATGCTTTAGATTTGTGGGTTACATAACCATAATGCTAATCTCTCAAATCTCAAAGGTGCTATATTTGATTGAGATCTGGTGACTGTGGACACCATTTGAGTACAGCGAACTTCTGAGTGTCAGGCAGACAGCAGGAATACAAAAGAGAACCCAAAAGCAGACTTAATAGACTGTTTCTTTCTTATTAGCAACACTTCATTGAAGGGTGGTGTGGTTTTCCAGGTGAGTGTCAGAGAGTGTGACTGAATGAGTGTCCAACATTTCCTTTTCTTTCTCAGACTGATGGGGTGTAGCGGTGAGCAGGAGGGCAGGCAGGTGAGGTATCTTACCTTTTCTTTTTGCTCCCAACAGCCGAGGAAGAGTGAGCAGCAGAAGCCTTGAGCCTAGAGTGCTTGAGAGTTATCCAGTAGGCAAGGAAGACCAGTGTCAGAGGAAATCAGAAGAATGATTGAAGAGTGTGACTGCTGTTCCAAGGCCAAAGATGACACCATCAGCTAACAATCTGCCAGAATGTCGAGAACTGAGCTGGTCCTAAAGTACAGCCTGGCTGATTGCCATCCTATCAAGCTCAAAGTAGTCTGTGCAATCTCCTCTGATCTCTGGCAGTCAAATGGGATTTTCAGCCAGAGAACTGCTGCTCAGTGGCTATTTCCTTTTTTCCAGACCATTCTCTGTAAACCCTAGGGGGGACTGTGCAGGTAATTGACAGTAGATCAGCAGTTTTTGAAATCCTCAGACCAGCATCTGGCACCAACAACCATTCCACATTCAAAGTCACTTAAATCAGCTTTCTTCCATATTCTGATGCTCAGTTTGAAATTCAGCAGGTTGTCATGAGCATATCCAAACACACTGAGTTGCTGCCATGTGACAGAGCTGATTAGATATCTGGTATGACATGCAGTTGAACAGGCCTAACTCATGAAGCAGCCCGTAAGTGTTGGTTAGTGAATGCACACAAACAAAAGCTGCCCCTTCAAATGTGCAGTAATACTTACATTCAGATATGTACTAGACTTTTCACTGGCATCAATACAGCAACAAATTTGCCTGTTACTCATTTCCACATGATGTCCCACCAACTGATAGAAAGTTGGTTATTCAAAGGTTTTTTTGTCCTCAAAGTCATCAGCTAAAATGAGATCTTTCCAATTTGTGACATTTATTTATTTTCTGCTACAGATGTAACAAAACAGGGGAAAGGATCAGTGACAACAGCATAGCCCATATAAGTAAAAAGCTGGAGAATGGAAGGATAATTGCACCCACACCCCCTTAAAGAACAAAATTCACTTTTTAGCTTACTTGCTAAGCAAACATGTCAATAAC